TACATTCTGCTCTATTTAAGCTTAGTTTACTCTTTTCAGTGTTTTAACCTGAAAAGTTAGGTTGTTGATTTGAAATTATTCTTTCTTTTTAAATAAGGGCATTTGCAGATATACTTTTCTCTCTAAGAATTGCTTGCCCTGCCTTCCATAAATTTTAGCGTATTTTGTCTTTATTTTCATTAGCCTCAAAGTATTTTACAATTTCCCCATTGTTTTTGAAAACATTGTTTGTTTCACAGTATATTGTTTAATTCCATAAAACTTTGTGAGTTTTCCCAATTTATTTCTTTTATTAGTTTATAATTCTACTTCATTGTGAAGGGTGAATATTCTTTGTATGTTAATACTTTAACATTAATTAAAACTTATTTTATGGTCTAACATATAGTCTATCCTAGAGAATATTCCACATGCACTTAGGAAGAATGTATATTTCTCAAGTTGCTGGGCTAATATTTTATGTGTCTATTAGAGCTAGTTGTTTTATAATTTTGTTCACCTTTTCCATTTATTTATTGATCTGCTGCTGCCAGGACAAAGAATAGGAGAAAACCTTTCCATGTCATTTGATAAGGCCAGCATTACTTTGATACCAAAACAACTCAAAAACAACAGAAGAAAATATATCTATAATCTAATATGCCTCATGAAAAAGACTAAAAATATTTAATATAACTCTACCAACTTAAATTCAGCAATACAGGAAAAGGATACACATCATAGCCAAGTAAAAGTTATCACCCAAATTTAACATCAGTTAAACATTTGAAAATCATTTTAATTGATTATATGGTGAACTATATATGATAGTTCTATATTTCTGTCTCTGTCTCTCTCTTTTTCCCTGTCTGCTATAGATGAAATGTTTGTGTCTGAACCAAATTTGTATGTTAAAAATGCAGTCTCTGAACTAAGAAGTAGGCTCTTACCAGACATGGAATCTTTCGGCATTTTGATCTTGGACTTCCAAGGCTCCAGAACTGTGAGAAATAAATTTCTGTTTTTATAAGTCACTCAGGCTATGGTATTCTGTTATAGCAGCCTGAATGAACCAAGGCATCAACTTATCTAACAAATAATATAATAATCTCAATAGGTATGTAGTTGACAAAATTAAACATCATTTCATGATAAAAACTCAACAATCTTATCAGGAACTTGCTATATTTGATGATAACATTCCACAAAACATTTAACATCATATTTATTGGAAAAATAATAAATGTTTTCCTGATGAGAATGGATATGAGGCAGGGTTGTTTATGTGTACCATTATATTCAATACCATACTGGAGATATTAGCCTATACAATGATTTAAAAAAAAAAAACACATTTTAAGGGAAGAAACAAAACTGTCTTTATAGTTAGACAATATTATCAAGTGTGTAGAAAATTAAATAAAGATTCAAAAGTTATTTAACCTATTAAGTTACATTTAATAATTTAACAGGGAATAATGTCAATATTCATATTTTAATAGTACATTTATATATTATGAACATTTAAAAATTCAAATAAAATATCATATTAATTGTATTTAATAACAGGAAATACCTAGAGAAACAGAATATTTATGTAATATTTATAAGCTAAAAGCTAAAAAGAAATATTGAAAAAAGAAATTTAAAAAAATGAAACTTCTCCATTGGTTTATGAAAGATTCATTTTACAGTATACAATTGTATAGGTACTACAAATAAATGAATAAATTTGGAAATTGAAAACCTCTTAATGACAGAATTTTAATACAGAAGAGACATATGAATGATTTGCAGATAAAAAAGCAATCTCAATCCCCGTCTTGCCATTTAAACTTGAGTAAGTTTAGGAAATATCCTACCTGAGGGCTGTAAAATGGGAGCTGATAATTACCGATTATGTAGGTTGCTGAGGTTTTCTACTGTATTTCCCAGTTCTTGGTTAGAATATAGGAAAGTAAAGATAAAATCAAGTAAGGTTTGTCCCTTATAGTATGGACTAAGAAAAATTCACATGTCTGTGTGTTTACAATCATAGTGGGTCTTGGTGGGTAAGACAGTAACAGAAATAATAATGTCTTTTCCAAGTTTACGAACAATGAGGATTCTGATATTCTCTGGCTTAGGCTCATCCAATAAGCTATCATCAGCCAAATCATTTGGAAAAATCAAATTGTGGACATTCTTCTGTAGCAATTATAGTAAAAATTAATAATATTTTCACCATAGATACTTGTAGTCAAGCACTTACTCGTGGTTAAATCATTATAACTGCTATATGCTGATAATACTAACCATTTCATTTAGGTTTCTATGTCTCTAAATAATCAGTATAGTCAGCATGTAGCATTGCTTGCATATATCTAATACTTAAGTAATTATCTTTCATATTTTTAGTTTGCATAGGGACACTGACTCTACACTGATATCTTTTTTGTGGTTGGTATGCAGACTAAAGATTTGCAGATTTTCTCTCAATATGTAACCAAAATATGATACACTGAAGGAAAAAAGTAACTCGTTTGTCACCACTAGAATTCGTATTATCACTGATAGATATAAGTTTTGATAGTTAAGTGTGATAACAGGAGCTGCAACAATGAGATTGAGCCTTGTTCTAGAATTTGAAAAATCCTATGAAGTTAAAAAAAATGAGTTATTGGTTAAAAAAATTCGTATCTAATTATGGAAAAAGGTTATATAATGTTTTCATTTAAAATAGGAAAAAAATCGAATAGCAGATTCATCAGTATAATTTATTCCTAATGGGAGAACTCAGAAAATCCTGTCTTCTCCTCCTTGAGCCAAGAGAGGCACCTTCTGAGAAATGACTATGCTTTTCAAAGGACCACAAAAGTTCTATGGAGGTTTGAATGTCAATAGAGTTTCTTGATACTGGAACCCTCAGAAATGTAGGAGGTTAATGGTTAGAAGCTGGAACAACCTTTTATTTTAAAGTTGTCAGCAGTTTTTGGATTTATTTTTGGATAGTCTTCTTCATTTTGAGAAAAAGATTTAAGAGTCATATTTTGTTTATTTAAATAAAAAATACAGAATTTGATTCTCAAATTGAAGGAATGAGTTCCACATTTCTGTCAACATCAGGGCAAAGTAATGGGGAAAAATATTAATGGGATTAAGATTTTGAGGCCAGAAGTTAGAGCTGAAGTGGCCCGGAGAGGGTAAGATTAGTAGAATTCACAAAGATTTTTGGTAGAACAGTAGGCTTTTCACTGAGATGTACAAAAATGTTGGAGTAACCTTATCTAAAACCTATGGGACAGCATGACATAAAGTGGCAGCTCATGAAAAACTTACTATGTGTGGTCTGTGTGTGTGTGTGTGTGTGTGTCTGTGTTCGTGTATGTGTGTGTGTGTGTGTGTGTATCTTCTTGAGGGTTATACACATAGCAATATAAGTTGAAAAATAATACCTTATTGCCTCAGACATATTGGACATACTGTGCTATTGCTAAGCTCAGTAACTGTCTCAGTTCTTAGTACAAGCTTTCCCTTCCATCCATCCAATCAATCCTCCAATGCCTGAACACATTAGAGCCAGTCATGGAGCTTTCAGAGTTAAATGCAAGCAGGTGAAACTGATATTAAATCGGTGACTTTGAAAGTCCACTCTAATAATTCCATATGTATGAAATTGAGATTGTACATTTCATCAACAAAACGCACTTGAAATCTCATGATCAATACTTTTTATAAGCAGATGGTTCATAACATATGGGGCTTCTGGTTTCCCTAGAGCAGTGGTTCTGAATCTTAGCACCACATTATAATTATCTGGAGAGTTGAAAAAATTATGGGAGTCTTGCTTCATCCTCTGGCAAATTAAATCGGGATCTCTCAAGAAGAGGTGTGGAGCTTATACTTGATTAAGCTTCTCACTTGATTCCTATGTACAGTCATGGTGGAGGACCATTATCATAGAATATAAAAGAAGCCTCCTGTAGCAAAAGAGAAACTACTGCCATAGGATTGATTAAGCATTCATCTGGGGATCTCATAAATATTGTTATAATGGTGTACACTGATAATAGTTAATATTGTTGAGATATAACTATAATCAAGTTCTATGATACAAAGTTTCAATATATTATGTATTGAAATCCTCATATAAAGCTAACAGTTTGGGCTTTATTATGTTGTTCTTTTTACTAATGAAACAACTAAGATAAAGGGCATAGGTTACTGCTTGTCCAAAACTTCTTAACTAGGAATTAGGAGCTATAGAATTAGGATTCAGAATTCTCTAATTCTGCTAATCCCCAGAAGTGTACACTGTACCTTCGTGTCAGACTTAACCTTTAAGTAACAGAGTAAATATGCATTCAGTGGGATTTAGTAGACCAGAAGTACTTATTTGAGATAACTTTTTTCTTTAGGATTATATAGTCTAAGATTGGTGCTCCAAGCCTTTTCAAGTCATTTAGACGTTAACAACGACAGACAAATTCAGTGTATTATGTTACTCTGTATTACAGAGGAAAACAATTATATTGTAAGCCCACCAATTTTTAATTTAACAAAACTAAGTAATAACTAATATGTAATAATTTACCTTTTTATAGTTGGGTTTATCTGCAAATTCCCAGATAAACTTTGTCCACATGAAGAATCTTTCATATCATTTACCACTAATTAGAATTTAAATATATTTTCCAAGACAGCTGATAGCAATAGAAATATCACATCACCACTACCTTTATCTAAGAACAAAGCAATGGGCAAAACAGAAGATGTAATATGTTAGACACATCCCTGAGATTTTTTTTGCTATCTAAATTCATTGCTAGGGATCATCAAGCCAGTTAGGGACAGATAATGTAGTCTTTAACTTCTACGCCCTAACATATTTATTACACATTGTATAGGAATTGTTCTTTTAAAAAAACTAAAAAAAGAAATTCAATCCATATTTCACTAATTTTTAAACTATGTATAAAGAGCAAAACTGGAAAATCCATTAACATTTGAAATTCTAGGTCGTGAGGAAGTGCCAGCCCACTGAAGCAGTGGGGATGCGCCCAGCTCAGCGAACACGGTGGAGATTACCAGGCTGGTGTTTGGTTGTTCTGGGGTGATCTTCCGATTGGAAAAGAACTATGTCATGGATCAAGGAAGGAGAGCTATCACTATGGGAGTGGTTCTGTACCAGCATCATAAAGGCAGGCCCAGTGCCGAAACACATTGCACTAATAATGGAAGGGAACCGTCACTATGCCAAGAAGTGCCAGGTAGAGTGGCAGGAAGGCCACTCACAGGGCTTCAGCAAGCTAGCTAAGACCCTGGGATGGTGTTTGAACCCGGGCATCCTAGAGGTTACAGTCTATGCATTCAGCATTGAGAGCTTCAAACTCTCCAAGAGTAAGGTAGACGAGCTTATGGATCTGGCCCGGCAGAAGTTCAGCTGCTTGATGGAAGAAAACGAGAAACTGCAGAAGCATGAGTTGTGTATCTGGGTCCTGGGCAGTCTGCGCTTGTTACCCTTGCATCTCCAGGAGCTGATTGCACAAGCTGTACAGGCCACCAAGAGCTGCAACAAGTGTTTCCTGAATGTCTGTTTAGGATACACATCATGTCATGAGATCAGCAAGGCTGTGAGAGAGATGGCCTGGGGATGGAGCAAGGTCTGTTGGATCCCAGTGATATCTCTGATGAGTCCCTGCTTGATAACTGCCTCTATACCAACCACTCTCCTCATCCTGACATCTTGATGCAGACTTCTGGAGAATTGCCACCGAGTGACTTCGTGTTATGGCAGACCTCTTACTCCTGCCTGGTGTTCCCGCACATTCTGTGGCCAGAATACACATTTTGGAACTTCTTCGAGGCCATCCAGATGGGCCATAGCATGCTTCAGAAGCCCCGAGACAAGTATGCAGAGGAGCGGGAGAGGCAGCAGCTGGAGAGGGACCAGGCTGCAGTGACAGAGCTGCTGCTGCGAGAGGGGCTCCAAGGCAGTGGGGACACCCAGCTCCGAAGGGCATGCTTGCGCAAACTCTCGACCAGACGAGAAGACCAAGTCCAAGGCTTCCTGCAGGCCTCGGAATTCAAGCGAGCTGACTGGCTGGCATGTCTGGGCACTGCATCAGCCTGAGTGAGGCTGGCCACCTGCCACTTTGCCCAGCCCTCTGTCTCCAGGCCCCACTCCCCTTCCTTTTCTTGGCGAAAGGCACCTCCTTTCCTAATATTGAATTATGTTCCCTTTGCTTGGCCGGGGTGCCCCACAGGCCGGGTCTGCGGGCCAGAGATACCTTTGGGCTGCCTGGGACAATGGTTCCTGGGGAAGATTGAGGGTGAAAGCCTCCCATAAGTACACTAAACCCAGCTCTGCTCACCAGTAGGGTTTGGAGAGCAAAGGGCCCCAACTCATCAGCTGCCTGTCTCC